TTTGTGAGATTAAACAAATTATAATTCATCCAAAAATTCTAAAAAATAAAAAGACAACTTCAAATACGAATAGATATCTACATTCCCGTAGTTGAGATATGATGACATTAATAAATCAAAAACAATGAAATTTTGATGAATTATAATATTCGCGTTACAGCGAACTTTTAGAATCTTACTTCGCATATATAAACATATAAAATTTGTTAAGAATGTATTTTTCTTCTTGCAAATCAATAAACAATTTAAGCTCTATGATATACAACATCATCTAACATTCACATAATAATTCATAATATAGTAAAGGTGGTGATTGATTAATAATACGGGAGTTTAATTTTAAATATGTATGTATTTTTTTTTCATTAATAAAAAAAAAAAAACAAAAAATAGTAATAGGGATGTCAATCAATATAAATCATTCTTGGTTTTGATCACGATTTTTATGTTTGTTTTGATAAGTAGCGATAAAAATCTGGAATTTTAGTGATTTGAATCCTAAAAAAATTAAAAATCAAAATTAAAATACAATTTTTTTAAAAAAATGGCTATATTAATATTAATATAGTTTATTTCATACTTTTTTACTGTTAAAGCTTTTTGGAAGCAAATTATATCTCCATTTTGTATTTCAGATTGATCAAATGTTGATTTTTGGTTCATTTCTTTTATCATATTGGGATCAATTTCCTAATAATAATAATCAATATTTATTAATTTATTAATAATAATAATAAACAATTAAGTTTAAAATTTTATAATTATAAATCATAATGCAGTGAATGGCACATACTTCATATACATTGAGTGGAGTATTTACTGGGAAGTTCTTTTTTTTACATAAAATTGGATAAATGTCACCAACTTTACCAGATCCTTGTACATAAAGAGAACCAAGACATCTACATGATATACATAGGTATGTATAAATATAAAAAAGTAATTGTCAAAATATTAAATTCAAAAAAATATATCTGTAACACATACTCTAAAGTTTGTGTGCAAGGATCAAAAAATTTCAGAAATACTAAAGATTTTCCACCTGGTGAAGGAAACCAAGTCTAATAAATAGATTTAAAAAAATTGATTTTGGATTTTGTCAAAATATATTTAAATGAAAATCTAATAAAGAATGAACGAATAATTTACATTGTCAATTAAAGGTTTATCTGCAATTTCCAAATATAATGTATTCTTGTATGGCATTAATTTAGCACAAATCTCATCCATTGCTAATACATAATGATCAAAAAAATGAATAATTGACACATGCAAAAATATTATAAAAAAGATGGCAAAATTGAAATGATACGCAAATTAAAATGATCAGATGATATCAATATGTCAGGTCTGACAGTTTTATTTTGCCTTGGTCCAAAAGCCCAAAAATGAATTTGTTCAGGTTGTTTTTCATATTTGACTGCTACCTTCTGTTTAAAATGATTGAATGGAGTTGTTTTAAGAATTTTCATTACAGGAAGAGCTGATATAAGATCTTCTTGATTACTAAGATTAGCAAGGTCAAGTCCTTTATGTACTTTGAAAGTATCTTCAGTGATGAACTTTTTTTAAAAAATATATATTAATAAACTTTATGCAAATAATTCATATATAATTCCAAATTAATTTTTAACAAAAATTTGAATAAAAAACACTC